ATTAGCTCCTTAAAAATATATTTAAAATTTGGAAATATATAGTTTTTATGTGGAAATGAAAAGTTATGAAGCGATAAACAAAAAAATCGAATCGGCGAGGCCCGAGGCCCTACACAACTATGCATATTTAGTGGAGCTACTTGTAATAACTAAACATTTATATTTGGAGTTTGTGTGAAATATATCATATCCACTTTATTTAATTCACTTTATTTTCTCAATACACTAAATCTCAAATATTTTTATGATTCATAATTTGAAAACAGTGCAATGACTTATTTTACGTTATCACTATCCAAATATGTCGTGAAATATAACAAGTAAAAAAGCTGTAAGTTCGGTCGGGCCGAACGTTGAATACCCTCCACCATTTGGTACAAATTTAACAATTTTCAAAAAAAAAAAAAAAAAATAAAATCCCTTTAAAAATCTGTTAAAATCTTGAAAATACCTAATGTAGACGTATATTAGAGTCTATACGACGATGTGGACCTGCATAGGCAACTTTTGTCACAAGCTATTACAATATTCAAATGCGAAACTTGAAAAAAAATCTGTTTATAATGCACAGGCAATTTTCTGTCATAGGCTATAATATCGAACTTCACGAACTTCAAATGCGAAATTTGAAACATTGTCACTAAAATCATGAAAATACCGAAGATCGGGGGGTACAGTTATATGGGGGCTATACGAAGGCGTGGACCTGCACAGACAACTATCTGTGATAGGCTGTAGCATCCATTATGAACTTCAAATGCAAAATGTGAAACCATTCCGGTAAATAATGCCGCTAAAATCATCAAAATACCGAATATCGGGAGGTACCGTTATATGGGGGCTATATGAAGACGTGGACCTACATGGTTAATTTTTTGACTTAGGATGTAGTATCCATTACGAACTTCAAATACCAAAATTGAAACGATTCCGGTAAATAATGTCGCTAAAATCATAAAAATTACCGAATATCGGGAGGTACCGTTATATGGGGGCTATATGAAGACGTGGACCTACATGGTTAATTTTTTGACTTAGGATGTAGTATCCATTACGAACTTCAAATGCAAAATGTGAAACCATTCCGGTAAATAATGCCGCTAAAATCATCAAAATACCGAATATCGGGAGGTACCGTTATATGGGGGCTATATGAAGACGTGGACCTACATGGCTCATTTTTTGTCTTAGGATGTAGTATCTATTAAAAACATTAAGTACCAAATTTGAAACAATTCCGGTAAATAATGTCGCAAAAATCATCAAAATACCGAATATCGGGAGGTACCGTTATATGGGGGCTATACGAAGACATAGACCTACATAGCTGTCTTAAGCCGTAGTATCTATTATGAACTTTGAATATTAGTTATGAAAGAATTCCAGTAACAAATGTCGCTAGAATCATCAAAATACCGCATATCGGGAGGTACCGTTATATGTGGGCTATACGAAGACGTGGACCTACATGGCCCATTTTCAATATCAAAAGTCCTGCAGACATAGTACACATTTGAGTAAAATTTTATCAACCTGCTTCATTTCGTTCGGAAGCTAGAGTGATTTCCACAGACGGACGGACATTGATAAATCGACATAGAATTTTATACTGATCAAGAATATATATATACTTTGTGGGGTCTAAAATGTATATTTCGAGGTGTTACAAACGGAATGACAAACTTAATATACCCTCCATACTATGGTGGAGGGTATAAAAACTTACAACTCAAATAACAGAAAAAAACTATCATCTGGATATGCTTGACGACAGTTCTGCATTTATGAAACCGCAGATTGTTTTGAAGTTGTACTCATTTAAATGCTCAAATATAAAGTTTTTTGAAATCGCTAAAGAACTAAAGTGATTAAATGTGTGTGATTTTTGGCTAGTTTCTTTGCATGAGTTCTATGGAAGTCGTAATCGTATGATCTTTTCGGAAATATTTGAACCAGTCTTTAGAAAACTAATCAGGTCTTCACGAAATACAACAAAAAAGGAATTCCTTTTTTCTACGCTTTCGTTTTTATGTTGCACTAATTTTTAGAAAAATATATCGTATTCTTTAATAACATATGGCAACAACCACTTTGTGAGTGGGAAACCCACAAAAACAAAAATTTAGATTCTTTAGATTCAATTTAGATTTGCAAAAAGAAATAGACGCCAGCAAAATGGTCAGCAAATGGAACAAGTTCATCGACTCCAAAACAGCAATATTAAACAACAGTTACAAATGGTGTCTCGCTGCCACTTTGATAACAATTCAAAACATTTTCATCTGTAATTCGAGAATTCCTTTGTAGCTTTAACGTTTCAATTGTAATTTGAGAATTCTATTTTTATACCCTCCATCACTGTATCGGGGTAAAATTCTAAGTACCCAGTAAACAATTTTTGCCGAATTCGGTCCGATTTCTGTCAGAATCTCTGAAAAAATGTCCGATTCTGATTCCGAATTCCTTCCGATTTCGGTACAAAAGTTGTATGGACGTGGTCACCGAATTCGGAAAGATTTTCTGAAAAAAATCTGAAAAAATATTAGATTTTCTGGACGAATTCGGTCCGAATTCGGTGAAAATTCTTGAAAAAATAGGAGAAAAAATTAGATTTTCGGAAAAGATTCGGATGACAACTCCGAATTTCTGAAAGAAATCGGGCAGAATTCGTCTGGAAATTCGGCGGAATATTCAGATTTTCTCAAAGAAATCGGTCAGAATTCGAAAGAAAATTCGGAATAAAATTCAGATTTTCTGAAAAAAAACGCTCAGAATTCGGGAAAAAGTTCAGATTTTCTGAAAGAAATCGTTCAGAATTCGGAAGAAATATCGAAAAAATCGTCACACCACTTAAAAATGAAAAAAAAAAAAAAAAAAAAACACATATTTATTTAAAAAACAAACAATTTATTTCGGGTTTCGTAAAAATGTAGTTTAAATATTACATCTATAATACATTTACATTATAAATATTATTTTTATTAGGAACATAACATACAGTAGCACGTTTCTGTTTCAACTGCTAAACAAGAACTAAAAATAAAAAGCAGTGCACACAGAAAACCGGTATGTAGTTGTTTTTGCAATTTTTTTCCATCATATTTTTTTGGGAACGAAAGAGAAAGAGGCTTATTTACAACAACAACAAAACGCACATTTTTACAACGGAAAATCTAACAGTTCACAATAACAATAACAAATAGCATTTTTGCTTTGCGCTTTGTTGTTGTTGAGATCTTGAAATGAATGATCACAACAACAACTACTATGGGAGAGAATGTGTCAAACCACCACCATCCATTTACATGTGGGAGAGAATATGCCAGAGCAATAGACAATCTACTCTCTCCGTTTGTACATTTTTCGAGTTTTTTTCGCTTAAAAACACAGGAAAATGTGCAGAAATTCTAAAAAAAAAACGTTTAGAAAATCGGACCAATTTCTATCAGAAATTTCTGAAAAAAACGTCAGAAATTTCGGAAAAAAATCTAAAATCAGAGCAGTCGGAAAAAATTGTTTACTGGGTAGCTTTAGCCATCCGTCTGTCTGTTGTAGTCATGCTACTTTGCGAACGAATTGAGATAGAAGGCACGTGTGAATTTTTCCAACAGGCAAGTTAAGTTCGTAAATGGGCTATGTCGGAACACGTTTTCGTATAGCCCCCATATAACGGTACCTCCCTTTTTTCGGTATTTTGATGATTTCAGCAACATATTCACCGGCATCGTTCCAAATTTCGTACTGGTTCAGGTTCAGATCTTCGTAAAGCCCTCATATAACAGTACCTTCCGATATTCGATATTTTCATGATTTTAGCGCCATTATTTACCGGAATTATTTCGAATTTCGTATTTGAAGTTCGTAACGGGTACTACAGCCTCTGACAACAATTTTTATATGAAGGTCCAGGTCTTCGTATAGCTCCCATATAACGGTACCTCCCTATAGTCGGTATTTTGACGATTTCAGCAACATAATTCACCGGAATCGTTTCAAATTTCGTATTGAAAGATCTTAATAGGTACAATAACTTATGGCAAAAAAAAAAAATCGTATGTAGGTCCACGTATTCGTATAGCCTCTATGTGACGGTACCTCCGACATTATTCGCCGTAATTGTAACAAATTTCGTATTAGAAGTTCGTAATGGGAACTAGAGCCTATGCCAAAAAATTTCGTATGCAGTACCAAGTCTTTGTATAGTCCCCATGAACGGTTTTCATTTAAGTGGTAGTTTTCGTTTTTTTTTTTTTTTTGAAATTTTTCAATGTCCTTCGAAATGGTAGATGGAATTAAAATTCCGGCCCGGTCGAACTTAGCTGCTTTTTTAATTGTTTTACTTGTAATTTCGTATAATTTTATTTAAAATTAGAATTATTTAATTTATTATTTGAGTTTTTTTATTTCGAATATCAAATATTCCTTTTGTAATTTGTAATTCAAAAAAACAGATACGAAACCAATGCAAAAAATCTATACTTTTGTTTCGAATTTTCAATGGAATTATTCGAATTACAAATTAATTAATGTCATTTTAAAATGGAATGTAACGAATTAAACCCAGCCAAATACGATTGATGCCAAAGATGTGGTGGAATTATAATACAATATGATTCCGGATTACATATTTTGGCATGAAAGAAGCCGTGATTGTTTTACTAATTATTTTGAAAAAGCACTCGACCCACATTTTAATTAATATTCCCATATTTTAAATTTAAATTCCACTTTTGTGTTTTCTATTTGTTTTAAATAGGTATGTAAATGGATATTGGTTATGAACCGTAACGTGCGCATGCGTATGCCAACGTGACATTTCCCATTAAGTTCATTTAACGCAATGTTGTTAATTGATAAATACTCTTTAGAACACTTTTTAGACTGGGCTGACTAGAATTGCTTATTCATAATGATGGTTCCATATCAATACAAACAACAACACATTTGTACATCGTTGAAGATGAACCATGAAAAATTGTTTAGTTATTTTCGGGTCTCAGAAGCGTCGGATCGACATTAAAGTTTTTGTTTTTTTTTTTTTTGAAACTAATAAAACGGTTCAAAATCTATGCGCCCATCGATGTGTGGTATTCGGGCAATATTGTGGTTGGCTGCATTTATTTATTGCCATCATGAAATCGAAACATATCGAGTTATAAATGTATGCTAATGTCTGTAGATAAATTTACAAAAAAAGAATATATTTTTCACGACGTGACTATTAGATTTCAATAATTAAGTTCTCTCAATTGAATAAATTTAATGCAAAACAGTTTTTCAAAGTGTAGAATGCTTAATCATCGGAAATGTGGTTAAGTTTTACACAAGTGTACAACAAAAGTTAAAAAAGTGAAAAGGATGACAAATATTCAAAAGTGGGTCTCCAAAAAGTTAGACATTAAAAAATAATCATGCTAATCGCAAATTTCACCAAATGTGTACACCTCACAATGAAAGTATATATACGTTTTTTTCTTTGCGAGAAGGAATTTTCTTTAGAAACTTATTAATTAAATGTATCTAAAATTATACAAAAGGGTTTCTACGAAAGTAATGCCGAAATGGAATGACCTCGCAAAATTGATGAACGGATGGAAAGAACGATCGTTCTACATATAGTTAGAAGGGACAATGTCGTTAAATTGGCAAACTTTATAAAAAGTGTAAATGGTGTTGATTTTCATCCACTACGCATCCGTCGTGCTTTGAACAGGGTCGGAATGTATTCGCAAATAGCCTGAAAAATACCCCTTATTTCTAAAGTAAACCGCGAGCAGAAGCTTTTGAAATCTTATTATTTTCATAGACGAATGTAAATTCAACGTTTTTGGTAGATATGGAACCACACGGTTGTTGAAAAGAGCAAAAACTGCCGATCACCTAAATAATATTCGCCCAAAGGAAGGGCTCATGTATCTTGAAGTATTAACAACTAATTTCGTCTTAAGCATTAAATAGCTTGAGTTTTATAGAAAATTCATATTTATGCATGACAATGACACCAAGCATATCTCAATGTTACAGGAAAAATTCAGCATATTATGTAGAGCTAACAAGTAAAAGACCATTAATTTCGACCGCACCGAATTTTTAATACCCGCCATCTTAGGGTAAATAATATTTTTTAATATAAAAGTATCTGGATTCAAGCTTGTTTCACTTTAAACTTCATAAACCAGTAAGACCGTTTGGATAATGTAATGTAATAAAGTGTGTGAGGCCGTTATATGGGGCCATAACAAAACGGGAACCTCTATAGACAATTTTACACTTCAAGGATTGTCATCTATCAAATCTTTTAAAAAATTTTAAACTATTATGTAGGTAAATCTGACTAGGATTATCAAAATACTGAATATCGGTGGATATCGTTATATGTGCGCTATAGGAAAACGTGAAACTAAATATTAAATGTTATGTCACCGGAGCAAGAACTACAAATACCAATTGTTGGACAAATCACTGGAAAAATATGACAAAAATCATCAAACACCGAATATACGGAGGTACCGTTATATGAGGGCTATACAAAAACGTGGACCTGTACATACAATGTTTCGCCGTATGAGCTAGAACCCATTATAAAACACAAATACCAATTTGTAGACAAATCCGTAAAAAAATGCGGCAAATATCACCAAAACAACGAATATTTGGAGGTACTGTCGTATGGCGGTTTACCAAAACGTGGACCTAAATATACAATGTTTCGCCACACTAGCTAGAAACCATTATACCCTACAAAAACCAATTTTCAGATAAATCCGTGAAAAAATGCGGCAAAAATCATCAAAAACCGAATATCGGGAGGTACCGTTATATGGGGGATATACTAAAACTTGGACCTATACATACAGTATTTCGCCACCGGAGCTAGAACCCATCATGACCAGCAAATTGCAATTTTTAGACAAATCCGTGAAAAATGTGGCAGAAATTTTCAAAATACCGAATATCGGGAGGTACCGTTATATGGGGGCAATACCAAAACGTGGACCTATACATACAATGTTTCGCCACCGAATAATATGGACTGTATCGTGATTTCAACAGAAAGACAGACGGACATCGTTAAATCGACTTAGAATTTTATGCTGATTATGAACATACGTATATACTTTATGGTGTCTACGATGAATATTTAGGGATGTTATAAACGGAATGACAAAGTTAATATACCCTCCTTTCCAAGGTGGAGGGTATAAAAATAGAAGACACGTGTATCGGAGTTTTAAAAGTTTATATCGGAGTGTAACCTAAATTGTTGCCCCCTTCCATTGCCTTCATTAACATTTTTTGAAATTTCCGCATCCAGATTTCTTGAATTTTTTTACATTTTAATTCTTTGGGGAAATTGTCAAAGGAGGACATAATCTGTATCACAAATTTGTATACTTAATATGTACCATTAAAAATAACATAAATGTTTGTTTCAATAACAAGTCTGGGCTGTGGAAAATTTCAAGTGGATTTGGTTTGTAGATCAAACCCCCAAAAGAGTTTCGGGTTCTTAGGCCATATACAATTTTTTTGGTCGGAAACTCGAATTAAAATTAAATCTAGATTATTTCTCAAAAAAAAAAGAAAAATATTTTAAGGCATTTTTGACTGACACAAGTTATCGGTGGGATTCTTCGTAGAGAAACAAAGGAGTTTTAGGTTGACTTAGTTCGATTTTGGCCCTAGGCTCCTTTGTTCTTTTACGAAGAAGCCAGCCGACGTCTTATACAAGTCCAAAAAGCTTTTTATGTAGTTCCACCTTTAAGTTGAGAATACATAAAACGTTTTTTTTTGACTGAAGAACAAAGGAGGCTTAGGCCAAAATCGAATTAAGTCAATCTGAAACTCCTTTGTTCCTCTACGAAGAAGCCAGCCGAAAACGCGTTTTATGTATTGTCATCTTTTAATAAGCAGTAAAACACATAATATTCATTTGTAATATACAAATTTCTAATGTAAATTTCTAAAAAACTGTTAAACTTGAATTTACAGTTTATTCCATGGTACAATAAGGAGGTAAAGCAGCCTTACAACAACTACCAAAATACATACAAAATACATTTTCAAGTAACCTACGGTCCACTGCTCGACGCATTCGGCATTTTACACCCATCGGCGGAGCCCCTCTGAGCTAAAGATACCATATTTTCATTGGATTAGTAGAAATATTGAGATAAGCGAAGTTTGAAGAAAATCGAAAATTGAATGTAGGACATATAATTATTAACATTTTTTTTGGAGTTTTTAGAAGGAGTGGGTCGAAAAATCCAATATTCACAACAGATATTGTGTTTGTAAAAATGTTTGGATGTGTCAAAATTTAAAAGAAACCGATGTTTATGTTGCATTTTATGAGTGTGACTGGTACTCCAAACTTTGACCCGTTTCAGGGCGGGTACTAGAAGGAGTGGAAATCGAATCCATTCTCTTTCTATAAGATACATTATTTTGTTAGAGAATTTTGACCTTTTGTGAGAGAGGTACAACAAGGAGTGGTCCTATTTTGCCCATCTTCAAACTGGATCTAAGTTTGATAATAATACGATGTACTACAGCCAATCAGTCAGACAGACAGACGGACGGATGTCCTGAAACGGATTCGGTTCCAAAAGACCTGTGGTCTAAAACCATTTATTCGATGAGGCACGTTCTGGCCGTATCAAATTATATATCTCTTCTGTGGCCATATGGGTGAGGGTATAATGAATTTGTATCAGAGTCAGTTCAGATAAGAAGTGGATAATGTTGGTCCACATGTTTCATTTGTTCTTTGAAATTACCTGCAATATATGAAAATACCTGAAAATGTGATTTGTTTTTTGCGGGTTTTGTGAATTTGTTCATAATAAAAAAAAGAAAAGCTGTAAATGTAAGATATCAAATTGCCGAAAGTAGGTGTACACCACTCCAATGAGTCAAACGCGGAGCAGTCAGGCGTAGAGTGATGCCTATGTTTACTATATTATAAGGACTATATACATTTTTCGTTGACATTATTCACTCTTATTATCTGCATTGGTTTCACTCGTTTAGTTACGCAAGAGTTTTTTGAGTCGATTTATGCATGTCAGTCCGTCCGTCCATGTATTCTTGTGAACAAAATGCAGATCACATTTATTATCCGATTGAGATGAAATTTTCAAAACAATATTTGTGTGTGCACCAAATGGCCAATATCTGTCAAAAATTCCTAACTGTTGGTACATCCGACCGAATTCAGTCTAGAAGCAAGTATATTAAATTTGGTGAAAATTGGTTCCGATATAGCTATCCCATACATATGTTTCATTCGATTTGGTCTTTAACTCCCTCACATTCGTAATATGCATTCGACAACAACGATATTTGGTACCAGATATCTTGTAGAGCTCCAAAATACATTTGCCAAATTTTACCGAGAGCGGCTAAGATTTGGAAATAGCTCCCATATATATCCTTAATCCGATTTAAAGTTTATAGTGCATATAATGGCTAATATCAGCCTAAATTAAGTGAAATTCAGGACGTACGTTTCCATTTTTTGGAACTCGGCTCCGATATATATTTTTTTTTAAATATAATCCCTCTCGAAGTTATATCATGCACTCGATAGCAATGTTATTTGGTATAAAATATTAAAATTTCTCCGACAAATTTAGTGAAAATCAATTCAGAATTGCATATGCCTCCCATATATTAGTTCTCTCTGAAACCAAACTATAACTGTTCTAAAGCCAAATGTTGATAGGTGGTATGATCTACTTCAAATAAATTCTTTTGTTATGGGAGCTCTACTAAATATGCATAGTGGTGTAGGGTATCCTACAGTCGGGCCCGGCCGACTTTTGAGCTTTCCTTACTGGTTTTTATTTTGGCTTTAGAGCAGTTATAGTTTGGCTTCAGAGGGAACTAATATATGGGAGGCATATCCAATTCTGAACCGATTTTCACTAAATTTGACTGAGACATTTTAATCTTTTATACCAAATAACATTGCTATAGAGTGCATAATATCAATTCGAGAAAGATTATATTAACAAAATATATATCGGAGACGAGTTCCGCAAAATGGAAACGTACATCCCGAAATTCATTCCATTTGGTCTGATATTAGCCATTATATGCACAATAATCTTGAAATCGGATGATATATATGGGAGCTATATCCAAATTTGAACCGATCTTTATAAAATTGAAAACGGCTATTTCTTGGCTGTATCTGATGTCTGGTACCAAATATTATTCTTGCATCGTGCATTTTACGAATTTGAGGGACTTAAACACCAATGATGATTTGGGCCACAATAAACATGAAATCGGTCGTAGATATATATGGGAGCTTTATCTAAATTTGGACTGACTTCACAAATTTCAATAGGGTTTGTCCTTGAGCCATATAAATGTTATTTGGAAAATTTCATCTCAATCGAATAATTTTGTTAACAAAAATACATGGACGGACGGACGCACATGCATAAATCGACTCAAAATGTGATTCTATGCTGATCACCAAAAGGAACTATGGGTCTATCTCGTTTCCTTCCCATGTTACAAACAAATCCTCCTATCAGAAAATGCTAAACATTTTACGAAAGGCCCCTAATGTCTTAATTACAGCCGAAAAACTTCGGAAGTTTACTTTTGCTCCACCTTGTACTTGCATATGTACTCGACAGACATTCCGATGTCTGTCTAGCCATATGGCTAAAGAGGGTATATATAATTTGATATGGTCAAAACGTGCCTAGTCAAAATAACGGTTTAGACCCTAAGTCTCTTTGGACCAAATCCGTTTCAGGACATTTGGAGTCGATCTAGCGATGTCTGTCCGTGCGTCCGACCGTCTGTCTGTCAGGCTGGTGCGCACTATAACTATAACTCTCGAAGGGAGCATCCGATTTGGTCCAAACATGGTACATCGTAATATTTTTGTTGAACTTAGATCGAATTCGGAGATGGGCAATATCGGTCCACTCCTTCTGGTACATTCCCCACAAATGTTCGAAAGAGAGACTATAATCCGATTTTGCTCCAACTTTGCAAATCCTTATATTTGCTTCAGTTCTAGGTCGATATGGACAATATCGGTCCACTTCATCAAGTACCTCCCCCACAAAGAGTCAAAATTTTGAATAATTACAACTCTTATAAAATGTGATGTAAGAGTCCGATTGTCTTCAAATTTCACACATCCCAATAATTTTATAAACCGAAAGTCTTGTGTTAAGATGAAATTCATCGGTTCACTTTTTCTGGTACCTCCACCACAACAGGTCGAAATTTTCAAAAAATATATTTTCTGCACAGAAAAAGAATAGATAATCCGATTTTGCTCCAACTTTGCACATCCAAATATTTGCGTCAGTGCAAGGTCAGGTGCGAAAATGGACAATATCGGCTTACTCTATCGAGTGCCTCTCCCACAAATGGCCAAAATTTTGAATTACAACTCTTATAAAATGTGATTTAAGAGTCCGATTTTCTTCAAATTTCAAACATCCTAATAATTTTATTAACCCATGTTCTGGTGTAAGGATAAATATATCGGTCCACTCCTTCTTGTACCTCCCCAACAAAAGGTCGAAATTTTGAATATTCATTAAGCTCATAAAACGCCAAATAAATATCCGATTCCATTTAGACCTCGCACATCTGAATATTTTTTATTAACATAGGATCTGTTATAAAGGCTGTAGAGATCAGACCATTCCTTCTGGTAAGTTCCCCACAAAGGGTCAAAGTTTTGACTAACCAAAACGTTTATAAAATCCGAAATAAGCATCAGGTTCCCTTTATATTTCACACATTCCATTATTTATACTAACAAAAGATCTATTTTGAAGATGGGATATATCGGTCCTCTCCTTCTGGTACCTTCCCCACAATGGGTTAAAATTTTAAATAGCCATGGAGCTCATAAAATGCGAAATTAACATCCGATTCCAATCAAACTTGGCACATTTCAATAATTCCATCAAAATCTGTTATAAAGATGGTAGAGATTGCACCATTTCTTCTGGTACCTGCCCCACATAAGGGTTCAAGATTTTGAGAAACCAAGCGCTCAAAGTAAGCCAACTAAGCATTCAATTATCTTCAAATTTTACACATACAAACATTTTTGTTAACACTGCAAACTGCTGCAAACCCTTTCTGGGGTCATCCACAAAGGGTCACAATTTTCAATACTTTTATCTGTCATAACTTACGACACAAGTCAGCGATTCTTTACAATTTGCTATTTCTAAACATTTCTCTCAACCAGTAACTTGGGATGAATGTAGATTTTATGATGAAGTTCTCAATATAGTCCAAACCTTGCACGTCGCAATATTTATATCGTATTTATTTAGGTGCGATATGAAATGGACAGTACTGATTTAAATGTTGACCTTTCATTGAATATTCGGTTTTCAATTATTTATTCAACATCAATGAAACAGTTGTATGGTTTTTTGATTGTTTTGATAATAATTCTGACATTACAAGCCAATACTTGAAATTTTTTCAAAGTTAGCCTAACTTGTCTTCATTGTACCATGTTTTCCACTATGAATTGTATTCGTATTCACATTTGACATTAATTCTATAATCCCACATTTACACTTAAATTATATTAAAAAAAATAATGCTTTGTGGAGCAGGTAATTGGACGGATAGTTACAAGATTTCGTGTATTTTTTTTAAATTGTACGCTAATAAACTTTGTTTACATTCTTGCAGTTCATTGGAGGCATTGGCATACCTCTTGACGATTCTGGATTTGAATCCTATATATCTGGATACATTTTGAAAGCCCAATATTATTTACCAGAGGAGTTTGGGCCAATGAAATTGAGACCACAGACAATACATCGTCGCAAACGTGAAAATTCTCACACAGAGTTCAATTACTCACCTAAACACAGATCGAAATATATAAACGAAACTGTGCAAGGACACACGAATCGAAAGGAATATAAAAACAGGATTGGTGCCGATTCCAATGGTTCTCGAGAAACCTTAAGTTTGATGAAAACTACCGGAGTTTATCGATGGATTATTTACAGAGCTATTGAAATTGCATTAAATAAGTAAGTATCTATTAAACTATATATGAAAAACAGCTAAATATAATTTGTTTAATTCTTATACATGACAACATTATTACACGTTCGGTAAAAAGGGTGCCAAAAGTCGAAAAGTTTGCAATATATAGTAATATTTCTGATGTTGAATGTCACTTCCCTCCAACCTTAAACAAGTAAAAAAGCTGTAAGTTCGGCCGGTCCGAACATTGAATACCCTCCACCATTTGGAACGAATTTGGCAATTCTCAAAAACAATAAAATCCGTTAAAAATTCTGTTAAAATCTTAAAAATACCGATAGTAGCTGTTACATTAGGGTCTATACGACGACATGGACCTGCATAGGTAACTTTTGTCATAAGCCATTACAATATTCAAATGCGAAACTTAAAAAAAAAAACAGTGATTAATGTACCTAAAATCATCAAAATACGGAATATCGGGAGGTACCGTTATATGGGGCTATACCAAAACGAGGACCTACATGGCCCATTTTCAATACCAAAAGTCCTGCAGACATAATATACATTTGAGTAACATTTTATAAATCTACTTTAATTCGTTCGGAAGCTAGAGTGATTTCCACAGAGAGACAGACGGGCGGTCATCGCTAAATCGACATAGAATTTTATGCTGATCAAGAATATATATACTTTGCGAGGCCTAAAATGTATATTTCGGGGTGTTACAAACAGAATGACAAACTTTATATACCCTCCATACTATGGTGGAGGGTATAAAAAGGAATACAGGAATCCTTAGTACAGTGAAATCAACGTAGGGAAATGCTACCAATCGATTTTTATACCCTCCACCATGCATAGTATGGAGGGTATATTAAGTTCGTCATTCCGTTTGTAACTCATCGAAATAATCATTTTAGACCCAACAAAGAGTATATATTTTTGATCAGCGTAAAATTCTAAGACGATTTAGCCCTTCCCTTCCGTCTGTTCGTTTGTTGTAATCATGCTACAGTCAAAACGAATAAAGATAGGAAGCTAAAATTTTGCACAGATCTCTCTTTTGTCTGCAGGCAGGTCAAGTTCGAAGATAAGCTATATCGGTCCACGATATCTTATAGCCCCCCATATAGAGGTACCCCCACCCTCCCCCAATTGTCTGAAATGCCACACATAGAGTCCCTTGTGAGTACTTTACCCCCTGAAAGAGAATTGTCTATATAGGTCCACGATATCATGTAACCCCCCTATAACGGTACCCCCCATATTGCCACTGTGAAGGACAAAAATAACAAATCGGATGAACAATATATATGGGAGATATAGCAATATCTGCACCGATTTTCACCAACTTTTATATACTTGTTTCTAAGCTCAATTTGGTCGTGTACAGACGGACGGATGGAAAGACGGGTAAACGGACGGACATGCATAAATCGGCTAAAAATGTGATTCTATGTAGATCATCAAAAGGAACTGTGGTTCTACATCGCTTCCTTCTCTATGTTACAAACAAATGCCAAATACATAATACCCTGACCACAGTGAGGTATAGGGTATACAATTTACACTTTTTGTTGCGAAATAAATGTTTAGAAAAATATAGAACATGACTTTAAAAAGAAATGTTGGCCTTTCAGAAAAAGGTGGTTTCCGTATTTTTGTACATGTTCAACATAGGGATTCCATTCCATTATTTCATTATCTAGTAAATTTAGGATTGGTAAAATGGACCGTTTATTTTGCCTGCCATTTGAACGAAAGTCATTTAGTGTCCGAAGGACTTGTGTTTTGGATTCTTGAATATATTCTGCAATTTAGTAAAACTTTTGGCGATTTTATCCACATAAAAGTTAGGTCCGGGCGAACTTTAGGGTTTTTTTGCTTTGTTTGTTTCTACTTTTGCATTCAGTTTGTAACACCTCAAAAGTTCGATAGAGATATATACTTGATCAAAGTAAAATACTGTGGATGTGCCACTCCGCTCCGCAATTTAAATCTCGATAAAGGTAGTCATGGAACATCACGTTTATTTTCGTGACATTATTCAACGAAATTGTTTTGTTTTGGAGCATCTTCTTTAAAACACTTTCTAAATCTATTAATGCATGTCAGTCAGTCTGCCCGCCTGTCCATGTATTTTTGTGAATAAAGTGCTGGTCGCATTTATTATCCGATTGAGATGGCATTTTCCAAACAATATTTGTTTGGATCGAGGACGAACCCTATTGAAATTGGTGGGAATTGGTTCAGATTTAGGTATAGCTCCCATATATATCTTCTTGATAAAACTCTTTTAAAATAGCAATGCTTATAATTTAGTTGTTAAAGTAAAATACTCAGCAAGTAAAAAAGCTGTAAACTGGCGGGCCGAACTTTGAATGTCCTCCACCATTTGGAACGAATTTGGCAACTCTCAAAAACAATAAAATCCTTTAAAATTCTGTTAAAATCTTAAAAATAGCGAATATAGCCGTTATATTAGGGTATATACGACGACGTGGTAACCTGCATAGGTAACTTTTGTCATAAGCCATTACAATATTCAAATGCGAAACTTGAAAAAAAAAAATCTGTGAATGATGTAGCTAAAATCATCAAAATACCGAATATAGGGAGGTACCATTATATGGGGGCTATACGAAGACGTGGACCTGCACATACAATTTTCTGTCTTAGGCTGTAGTATCCACTATGAACTTCAAATACCAAATTTGAAACAATTCCGGTAAATAAAGTCGCTAAAATCATCAAAATACTGAAAATCGGGAGGTACAGTTATTTTGGGGATATACGAAGACGTGGACCTGCACAGACAATTGTCTATCTTAGGCTGTAGTAACCACTACGAACTTCAAATACTAAATTTAAAACAGTTCCGGTGAATAATGTCGCTAAAATCATCAAAATACCGAATTTTGGGAGGTGCCGTTATATGGGGGCTATACCAAAACGTGGTCCTACATGACACATTTTCATACCAAAATTCCTGCATTTTTTACTCATTTCTGTTTGTCCACCTACTATGTCGATCAAAGTTATTATTTGAATATTTAATGGCGTTATTACTTTTTTGTTTCAGTTCCGCCCTGCCTGGCCAAATCTGTTTATTGCGCAGCATTTGTGAACATGCTGCCGTGCCGTTCGATTATCGAAGTGGGCTGCTGGGAGAGATTTTGCATATTATTTTAACGTAAGCTATTGACAGCTAGCACCCCCAAACACGTTGTTAATAGTTTCTTTATAGTCCCTCGACTTCGGAAGATGATTCTACAAATTCCTCAGCAAATAAAGTATATTCGGAAGCGGAATCCCAGGGAAAATCTGGTGAAGATTGCTCGATTTTATACGGAGAATGCTCCAAGCCTCCAATGGAGTTCATATCGGCAATATTAAGAAATTAAAGTTGACCTAGAATTGTTTGAAAATACGAATTTAAATGCTAATATTTATTTATGTAGATAAAATAAATTGTACAGATTAATTATAAATTGCTAATCAGAAATATGTAAGGTTTTAATAAAGTTGGAAAATTACAAGGAGAAAAGATAGGAATAACCGAACCATCGCAGCAAACAGACCACAGGGTGTGGTGGAACCTGTATTTCTTTCAACTGTAAGTCAAAAAGTTGAGGTGATTAGCAATTGAAAAGTTATCCTTAACGCCAAACATACTTCCTATGCACAGGCTAGTCAGGCTGCCACGGGTGTTACGTAGGGGGCTTGAAATTGGGCATAGACTTCCGGGTTTGCCATGAAAGAAATCCACTCGGGAGTTGACACGACGGCGGTATGGGTGATAGTTACAGATTAATAGATAACCTTCAAACAATCTGCAATAAAACATTATATTCAAGTTAAAATCCGCAGCCTACAAATCAGTCGGTATTTCCAAAATGATTTCAATAACTATATCAAGTTAAAATTGTTACAATTCTTGTATGAATCAACACCTCCCCTTCTATAGCTATCTTGCGTAACAACGACGTAGCGAGGAATACATTTTGAAACCATTTCGGATTAGCGGCCCAGCCAACAAGAACTGAGATTTTCAAGCCAAATGCTATAAAATATATAAAGTTGTATTATTTCGGAGGGGGCCGGACCACCACCTGGGTACGCCAGTGGTGAGTACCATCCAGATTGTGGGACGAACTGTATGACATTCTTAGGACGACGCCAAACACTCTAAAATCCAATCATGTATATAATTCCAACATGTGTTAGACCATATAACGACTATTTAGTCATGAGCGACTCGAATGGAAGGGAAGTATCAGACGGTGTGTACTGGGTTTCGTCTGAAGAGCCTAATAGTGGGGGAATATATAATATGATTGTATCTTACTTGTCGAAAGCACATCCAAAATGACTGGTTAAAGGCGAAGCCAAATGAGTGAAGTTGTTTTCACCCACGATATGACCCACTTCACTTTGCAACAAAGAGTTAAAGTTAAAAGTGGGAGCCATCATTGAATCCCTTTCCAAATACCAGGCGCGAAGAGCATTTTCAATAAGTAAATTGGGATAGTGAATACTTCTCTGCAGATAACGATTTTGGGCCACGTCACGATAGGTTGTTCTAGTGGATCCAGAAAAATGGGTATGATGAGCATGGTCATCATTGTGGTCGTAATGGTGGGTGAGATTAGCACATGGGTCTGTGGTGAATGGTTTACACATTGCCAAATATATTTGTGCCATTGCAGCCAATTCCTCGTGCCAAACCATTTCGACCATATTGGCAACCATCATACGATCCGCAATGCGATTTCGTATACCATTGTGTCCCATTATCAGCATATTTTTCATTTCTCTGCGTTGTGCTTCGGAAACAGCTGGTGACGTTGGTAAACAGCTTGCATGTGAATGGTTTGTACTCTGCAGAGTAAAAAAGAGATATCTTCAGATTGGTAGATGGATAAAATACATTTTGGATCTTGATAAATACGCAGAGTGTATGGGGTTCTCCACGACAGTCCATTTCGCAGTAATTCACACTGAATATTGAGCCGATTGAAAGATTAAGAAGATCGATCAAAATTATTGCATTCAACATTGTCCGTACAAAAAATACCGAATGATAAGTTGGATTTGTCTTCGGTTTCACGGTAAGCAGCGTTGTAGAAAAATTTTCTAAATTCACTATTAACTGTTTATTTCGGAACAATTACATCCATATGTTTACATATTTTGAAAATGTCATATCGACTGACAGTCATATCATAGAACAGTAATACCATGGTAGAATAACAAGGTAACCCTTTCAGGCCAGCGGTATTAATTTGATATGTCAAAAATTGTTGTAATTTGAATTCGCCTTTCATTTACACAAAATTGTTGCATGAATTCAAACTTTAACAATTCAATTAATAGAAAATCGAGATGTTGCGTTTTTATAGAGTATGAGGGAAAGAGTGTATATTCAACATATGGTAGGCATATCCAAAGCGCATTGGATTGGTTTGGGGAAAAAACATTCATCCCGTACTGACCTCAATGTCCAAATGTATAAAAGTTATCTATATATAAACGGCTTCCTGCTAGTCTACTATACATTTCATAGCTGAGCAAACAATATGCCTGGACTCACAGTAGACTCAGCCCCTGTATCTTCTTCAATCTTTGATCCAAATTTTAATTAAGCCTGTGCGGTAAATACCATAGAGTACCTTTAGGTAGCAGGTCACTATATTACTGAAAAAAACGAGAATGCTGACGATTTAGCAAAAGAAAAAAATGGCACACCACAGAACCACCACAACACAAATTTTAAAGCATCAAAACTAATTTGGTCGGACATGTTCTTGTAATACATTTTTTAGCTGTTGAATATGAAATCAACGTTATCAAGGATGATGAAGAGATAACAACGATTGGACATCTATTATCGCAAATGTCCCTCGTTGGCACGCTTGATACTACGTACTGTGGGCGACCACTCCATTTCCAGTCTCTACGATTTTCAATAATGTTGTATTAAACGTGTAAAAATCAAGTTGGAAGTTTCGAATGTTTTCATTCTTAAAATAATTTTTTTTTTGAATTTATAAAACAACTAGCTGGCCCGGTCCGCGTTGCAGGCCCGTAATTTTAGTCTTTAATGCTTATTATATCATCTACCTTGGAAAGGAGGGTATATTAACTTTTCATTCCATTTGTAACATCCCTAAATGTTCGTCATAGACCCCATAATATACATACATACACATTCATAATCAGCATAAAATTCTAAGTTGAAAATCAATTGAAATATTGAAAATGATCTATCGGTCCACGTTTTGGTATAGTCCCCATATAACGGTATCTCTCCAAAATCCGGTATTTTGATGATTTTTGCACATTTCTCCTCGGATTTGTCCAACACATATAACAATACCTACCTATATTGGGTATGTTGATAATCCACACATATACGCACAATTGTTTCAAATTTGGTATTTTAGAAGGTTCGATAGATGACAATCCTTGAAGTATAAAATTGTCCACAGAGGTTCCCGCTTTGGTATGACCCCATATAACGGCCACATTCACTTTATGTTTTTTTGATAAGTTAACTGCACAATCCAAACAGTCTTACTGGTATATGAAGTTTAAAGTGAATCACGCTTGAATTCAGATACTTTTATATAAAAATGTTTCCTTTACCCTAAGGTGGATGATAATAATAATAAAATAATTAAAGTAATATGAATTATTTGTCAATGAAATTGCGCTTTGCAGACCCCATAACTTCCATATCTTTTATCATAGTATAATTCAAAGACGATTAAACAAATGTCCGGTTCTTTAAATCATGGATGGTTTCTTCCCAAATTACCAACATTTGCCGAAATTAGTATGAAAATATGTTTAAAATGTAAGATATACTTGAAATCGAGTTGTATCCTTATCCGGGGGTTATGGCTCATATCATGAACTGCAAAATTGATTTAAGGTATCGTGAAAGTTTAGGAAGAATTTCTGAAAGAATAGAAATCCTTTTCCCTCTTATTTTTTGCGCCCTTTATATTCGGTATTTCACTGATTGCAGTCCCAATGAATTTTGCATATTGAGTTCTCATTGGACGGATTATTGTCATGTGAAAGAAGTAAGTCCACGTTTTAAAATGAACCCCATAACGTTTTGTCGGTTATTTTTATACCCTCCACCATACATAGTGTGGAGGGTATATTAAGTTCGTCATTCCGTTTGTAACTCATCGAAATAATCATTTTAGAGCCAACAAAGTATATATATCCTTGATCAGCGTAAAATTCAAAACGAATAAAGATAGGAAGCTAAAATTTTGCACAGATCTCTCTTTTGTCTGAAGGCAGGTCAAGTTCGAAGATGGGCTATATCGGTCCACGATATCGTATAGCCCCCATATAGCGGTACCTCCCGATATTCGGTATTTTGATGAATTTAGCCAAATTTTTCAATGGAATTGCCTGAAATTCCACACAAGTAGTTCTTTGTGAGCACTTTATCCCTTGGAAGCGAATTATCTATATAGGTCCACGATATCGTATAGCCCTCATATAACGGTACCCCCCGATATTCGTTATTTTGATGATTTTAGCAACATTTTTCAATGTAATTGTCTAAAAATCCACGCAAGGAGATCCTTGTGGATATTTTATCCCTTCCAAGAGAATTATCTATTTTGGTTCACGGTACCCCCCGATATTCGTTATTTTGATGATTTTAGCCACATTTTTCGACGGAATTGTCTGAAATTCAACACAAGGAGTTCTTTGTGTGCACTTTACCCCCTGAAAGGGAATTGTCTATATAGATCCACAATTTCGTATATCCCCCATATAACGGTACCTCCCGATATTCATGATTTTGATGATTTTAGCCACAGTTTCCAATGGAATTATCTGAAAATCCACACAAGGAGTTCCTTGTGAGTACTTTATCCCTTAAAAGATAATTATCTATATAGGTCCACGATATCATGTAGCCCCCCTATAACGGTACCCCCCATATTCGGGATTTTAATGATTTAACCCAATTTTTCAATTAGTTCTTTGTGGGTACTTTACCCCCAGACATACATGTGTCTATATAGGTCCATAATATCGTATATCCCCCCATATATCGGCATCTTCAGATCTCAGGTATTTTAAAGGTTTTAACAGAATTTTTAATGGGTTATATTTTTTAAATGTTCTAATGCGTTCCAAATGGTGGAGGGTATTCAAAGTCCCGGCCGAAATTTGTTTAAATGTGTTCGCATCTTCCAGCTGAAGCACGATGTAGATCCTGGAGTTAAAAGCTAAATGCCAATTTCAGATATGAAAGATCGCCATTTAACATCGTATTGCGTACTATTTCATTTTTGATATTATTCATTCAGAATTCAAAACAATAAAAATTTTACACTTATATATAGTTTTTATATTGATAAAATTTCACACAAAAGAATTTTTTCTTTTATATTTTTATTGACATATTTTACGCAATTTTTTTTGCCAAGATTCCATTCAGAAATTGTACGAATTGTGAAAATCGGTCAAAACGTTCTTGAGTTATAAGCATAGCAACTAATAAACAAAAAAAAAAAAATCATCAACTTGTTCGCTGGTTTTTTTACAGCGAATATTTAAAGGTCCTTACGAAGTTTGATCCTTACTATTATTTTGAAATTTGATTCCTTTGAAAAAATATTCTCTATTTTTCCCGATTTTAGAGTTTTTGCAATGCAATATGCTCTTTTTTTGATTTTTTAGCAATTTTGAAAAAGTAATTATCTTTTAACTTTGGTTTGACCACGTTAAATTATTTTGACATCATCTATTCAGCTCCGCCACTCCATAATTTTCGTCGCTTTTTACTACCCAAAAAGACCACACATCATATTAGAATTCAAAAAAAAAAAAAAAACACTACAAATGTACATTCCGAAATAGTAAGTCAAAATGGAAAAAAAATCATGCAAAATAAAACATTACTATTGTACACTTCAAAAGTCAAAATGAAAATTTTAAAATTTCACATTTTTACGCGATTTTTTTGGATTTTATCCTTTTCTGCCAAGAGACAATTCCGAATTTGTGTGAATCGTTAAAATCAGATCAGCGGTTCTTGAGTTATAAGCGTAGTAACTAACACAACTTCCTTATATAGATAGATTAGAAGTATGCGTGCTCAGTTCCCTAGCCTCCAAATAAATCCCTAAGGTTAGTGAGAAAGTCAACAGTATCTCGTGTAATCATTTTTAAACCAATATCTTCATTATTTTGGCAAATATAAGGATTTAAATAAATCGAAATAGTGGGAGTAAAATTAGGCGTCGTCAATACTTTTTTCTTTAAAAACCTAATTGGGGGTTGGACGAACGTTTGTACCAAAAATTATGCAAATCGGTCCAGCCGTTTTCAACTGATTCCATTACCAACGAACAACAATTGATTTTTATATATAAAGATTTGCCCCAAATGTTGTACTTCAAATCAATTCGCCCTGTTTACAACTTTGACATATCAAGTTTCCAAAAAAGTAGCTTTGTTGTAATTTTCACCTATGTTGCTACCTGGTATTTTTACCATGAGTAATACTAAATATGTACATGCAAAAAGGCTATATCCAGGCGGAGTCGATTATTTGATACCCTACACCACCACATTTGGAAAAAAGGAATGTAATAAGCCCAATTAATACGTTGTCCCATACATTGACCCCATAAAGTACATATATCCCGTCTGTCTGTCCGCTAAAATTACGATACAGCACACACTATTTTAGGTAGAGCTTCAAAACTTGGCATACCGTACATTGTTTAGATATGTCCACGTTTTAGAATAGCCCCCATATAACGGTTCCTAATATTCCGTATGTCGATGATTTTTGCCACATTTTTTACGGATTTGTCCAAAAATGGGCATTTGTAGTATGTAATGGGTTCTAGTTCCAGTGGCAGAACTTTAAATATATATTCGGTATTTTAATAATTCTAGTCACATTTATTTAGTACTAGCTGGCCCGGTCCGCGTTGCCGGCCCGTACTTTTAGTCTATCTAATATGCATATCTATCTAGCATATTTTTTAAAGCATAATAGAACACAGATCTGAATTATGTAGCGGCACAATTTTTATTATAAGTAAAATAACTCCATAGTCTATATATATAAAAATCAACAAGTAAGCAAAGGCTATTGTCGTGCGGGGCCGACCATCTGATACCCTACAACACTACAATATGTT